CAGGAACATGGTGTATACTTTTCATTTTAAGTTGTTACATCCTCTCCAATTCTGCCTCTTCTATTTTCAGTTCTATCTCTTTGCTTGAAGGTATGTTTATACATGGTGCCACCTTGTGTCAGTCAAGATCTGATAAAATATGTTAGCGGGCGAGTTTCTCTATTGACTTCCCTGCAAAGATTGTCCATCTCCCCAGGGAACAAATACATAATTAGATCCCCTACCTTTACCAAGCTTGATTTTATTATGTCTTTAATCAAAATCCAGGAAAGCAGGTACCACAAAAAATTCCAAAAATTATGATATTTTTAAGTAAACAAAAATATCATAGGAATTCATATTCTTCGCAGTCCAAGTAGACATCAATGAAAAGTCATACATCTAATCCTTGTCTTCATACATCTAGAATCACTCGCGTTCTGAAAAGACCTCCCTATGGCTACTTTTTTTTTATCATCAATTTGCAAATAAATTCTGAGCATTTCTTTAGCATATTAGCAATCTAAGCATCCTCATGCTTTGAATGTGTGTTCCTCTTACATGATGAGTAGTCACGGGCAGGGACTCGCAGACCGCGGTGCACAGTCCGGAGCACTGTTTTCTCATTTCCCTGGCAACAGACGTGTGGTCTTGGCCTCAGATGTTTCCGTGCCCTTCTCTTTCTCTCGCCATGGCCTCTAACCTATCTCAGGATCTGTGCCTCTGACATGAAGTATCTACGAACATCAGGTGCTAAAGAAACTCAGCGGGTTTTCAATTTTGGCTGTCAGCAACCGCGTTAGGGAAAGAAAACAGTGACAGCACAGCGAACACTTTGGCATCCTTTCTGCTTTTTTTTGTGCTCCCATATGAAGCCTTTACATTGTTGTCAGTGGGAATGCCATCGCTCCTCACACGAGAGGGCCATGTCAAAAGGGTGCGAACACATTAGATAATTATTTTTGAGAACATCTGCATCACTCTCAACTATAGCATTAAAAATTTAACCACGTGCTAGGGTGGGAAACAGCTCGGTGCTAGAGCACCTGCTTAGCATGCAGGAGGTCCTGAGTTCAATCCCGGTAAGTATCTCCTTAAAAAAGCTAAATAAACCTAATTACCACCCCCAAACAAAAACGAAATAAAATTTAACTATGTGCTGCATATATTTAGGTATATCTAGTTGTTAGTGATGTTTTTCCATGGAAAAACATTATTCATGAGAGTGTCATTTCATTATGATTTTCTGAAGACTGGCCATGTACCCTGTGTAGTTCCTCATTTACTAACAGTTCAGTCTCTGTGGCTCTGGTCTAAGGCAGACATCTACCCTCATAGTCCTTATTGGACTTGAACTTAATAGAGGCTTCCCTAAGGAGAACTGGAAGGCGTCGCGTAGAGAGACTGATGAGTGGAGAAATGTGCTTTGTACTTCTACCCAAGAGACCTCCCACCACCCACTCACACACTACACCCATACGTGTTGAAGGAGATCTGTGAATGAGAAAAAAGAAGATTGTTCACCAAGGAATTTAATTATCATCATGAAGATGAGCTCTCTTTGAGTTTTAGGTTCATAATCCTCTTCTTTTCAAGCTTTAAATAATACTGAAGTTCTTAACTTGCTTTCAAGAAGGGGGATATCCTATAGCCCTTGTGTATTCAAAAATTCAGAATCATTAACAATTATGTTAATATTTAATTATAATAGTTAATGCCTTCTATCTTTTATGGAGCTATCAATATCTTGCCTGACAAAATGTTAATCTACTGTATTAAAGTCACCAACACTACATTGCCTACAAGATGCATTCCTGTATACTCTTCAGCAGAAACTCTGATATTAAGCCTTCTCTGCCTCTTCTTTCATTGCTTTCCTACATACCTAACATTTCTACAAACCCGCACTGTGTGCTGTTCCTTAAATATGTCCTTTATTTACAATCTCCTTTGAAATTTTGCTTATACTCTTTACCCTGCCTACAGTGTCTTTCCAGTTTTCTCTATTTTATATCAGTTCTGAAGTTTACTTATAATATGATTTCCAAAAAAAAAAAAAAACTCTTTGGGACAGATGACTTTTGGGTTTGTGGCTTGGGGATCCTAGCCCAACTGAAATAACCATGACCCACAACACATGAAAATTAGAAAAATATATAAATAAACCAACAAACAGCCATTTAAAGTCTCTGTAAATTGATCTAAGGGTATACAACAAATGTGAAGCATCCATTGAAAAAAATCTACTTAATCTTGTAAAACCGAGGATTTGTGGCATTTGAGCCATGACCCTGCCCCACAATCACCAGCTGGGGACCACGCTCTAAGTGGGTGACAAAGAATCTCTTCTCACAGGTTCCAGTCCAGGGTAGCAGTATCTCTCCAGGGGAGGCAAAGCACCAGTCTCACCTCCCCAACTCCATGTTTCAGAGGCTCAGTTACAGGAGAGAGCATCCCAGAGTTCAAGGACTCCCTTTGCCTTCCAGTCCCTACTCACAGAATGGAAGTTCTACACCAGACATAGCAAGTCAAGAAACTGGGACCCCAGTCACCTTCCCTTCTTATTTTAGATACATAGATTTTCATCTTTTTTTCTAATCTTTTTCCAATGCATCCTAGATCCTTTTTACTATTTTTATTATATCTAAAGTGTGGCTGCAAGAGTATTTTCTTTCATTGGTTTATTTTAGGACACAATCTATGTTATATTGTCTCCTCCAAGTTAAAAATCTATAGATTTTAAGATGCAATTTATGCAATTAAATATAATTTATGCAGTTGTAATTTTAGGAAAATACAGAAAATGAAGGTCAAATTGGTGAAATTTTTTGTTTCCCTACATCACTAACATGAGTTGTTGATTACCTATTATGTGCAGAATTGGCAGTTTCTGAGGGCAGTCTTTCAGACTTGCTCTGAATCCAGGAGGAATTCCTGTCCTCCCTGGTTTTCACTATTAAAGTAGCTGGCTGCAGGAGGCTTGTCACTCACATGGAACTACCAGTCTCTTAACTGCTTGCCACCCAAATCTCCACTGTTTTTGAGAGCACCCTTCAGCTGGAACTTCCCTGCGTTCTGTGCCCCAAAAGTCACGTTGCTTGGAGAGAACTGCAGACTTCTCTGTGGTGATGGCCTGCCTTTCCCTCTGGGGAAGCATCTCTGAGCCACCACTCCACAGTTGGGTGCAGGGACAGGGGTCCACGTCTCTCAGAGTGACGCTCCCATTCTGTGAGCAAGGAGCTGATCAGGAGTGGTAGTCTCTGTTCAAGGCTTGCTTCTCTGAGTGTGGGACCTCCCACCCTCCTTTAACTTAGAGGAGACAATGTAACATACATTGTGTATGTCCTAAAATAAACTAACAAAAGGAAATACTCTTGCAGCCACACGTGAGATATAATAAAAACATTAAAAAGGATCTAGGATGTATTGGGAAAAGATTGGAAAAAATGAAAACCTATAAATCTAAAATAAAGAATTTTTTAAAAGTATAGATAAGAAATACGAAAAATAATTTAGGTCTAAAGAGCATGCATAAATTATATTTATTATGTGTAATTAACATATTTGTTTTAAATGCACCTAAATGCAAGAGGTGACTTAACCATTTTCAGCTGAAGGTTTATGAATTTAATGATGACTCATAGATGTTTTAGTTTTCTGCTTTGCTTATAGTTTTAACACTGGAGAAAATATTTTCCAGAAGTGATTACAACCATATCGAGTGTATACTATATTTAGCAAGGCATGATATAGTGGTTTTCACCTGCCATAAAACATCTGGAGATACAAATCAGCAATGCCTTCTGTTTCTTGCTTTAGATAATTACATATAAATCTTAACTCATAAAGCTTCTGTTTATTACAGGATAGGAAAAAAATTAAATTGTGCAGGGAATGAGATGTGCATTTTGAAAATAAATAGTAAAATAAGAATATTTTAAGGAGTCTTTAAAAATATTCAGAGATACATTACACCATTTTCTAAAAAGTTAACAATTCTTGTCATTCATAAAACAAATGTGCAAATTAAATATTAAAAATAGAAATATCATATGGAATAACTATACAATAGACAGGTTTTCAAAATTGAAAATAAGTGGTAAAATGCATTAACTACTTTCTCCCCCAACTGTTTATTCAGTTCAAACTCAACATACAGTTGACCATGAACAACATGGGTTTGAACTGAGTCATTCCACCTACATACAGATTTTTTTTCAATAAATATAGTACTACACAATCTGGGATTGAATTCAAGGATATGGAACCACAGATATGGAGGGCTGACTATGGGATCTGAGCACTTGTGGATTTTGGTATCCGAGGTGGATCCTAGAACCAATCCCCTGTGGATAATGAGGGATGAATGTAGACGGATGTTCGACCGTGTGGTTCTCAGCACCCCTAGCCCCTCCTTGTTCAAGGGTCAATTGTAATTAAGTTGGTAACTTTCTTGATTCCTTTTCTGTTACTGAGCTCAAACTCTATTTTACTTAAATGTAAATATTCTTGTATCTGTTGGGGTAACAACTGAAATAGTCATTGAAGACAAAAGTTACTGACATCTCTCTCCCAGTTTGCAAACAATGATATGGGAAGATACAATATCCTACTTATTGTGGTAGGGGTGAGATTGGGTGATAACCAATCCTCTATCATGCAGAGTCGTAGCAATGAGACCTTTATTAGAGGGACTACATACACCTCCTCCATGTAGGCTGTTACATTCACTAGTCCACCTGCATCCTTGCTTCCTTGCTTTGGGAGAATTACTCTCTCTCAATACAGAGATCTCAGGAGCAAAGGAAGGACTTGACCAGCACTATGTAAGAGAAATAATTGCTTTATTTGGTGAAGGGCACACAGGGTGGGTCCCAGTTGATTGGGAAAGATAGTAGAGGAAAGAGATGTAGGAAGTAAGATTATCTGAAAGCATTCAGACCGTCACACTGGTTTTCCTGGACAATAATCTGTCTGGCACTTGCTTTCTCTATCTTCCAGAGGGATAACTGCACCTAACCTCAATTACCCATCAGAATAAGGAAATGCTTCCTCCATCAGGGAATACTGTACCTTCTCACGGTTCTCAGGGTCCCCAGGCACAAGATAGCTGGCTTTCCCAAATCAGTACCATAAGTAGCTCGAGCACTCGTCCTAAATAGCCTTGTATCCCACAGACAAGTCTTATCCTATTAAAAGAAGGGCACATAAATAGAAAGGAGTCCCAGATCTATACTGACCCCAAAAAATCAGGAACCTACCAGTCTCCATGAGTTTTGTATGCTGCACAAATTCACAAACTTGATGGCTTAAAACAACACACATTTATTATCTCACCATTTCCACTGGTCAGAAGGCTGGGCACTGCTTAGCTCCGTTGTCTGCTCAAGGTCTCGTGAGTCTGATGTCAAAAGAGTTAGCTGCGTTACGTTTTCATTTAGAGGCTTATTCAGGGAAAGATCTGTTTCCAGTCTCTCTCAAGTTGTTGGCAGAATTCAGTTCCTTGTGCCGCAGCTCCTAGAGGCCAGCACTCTCCATAGGCATTTCACAATATATTGATTACTTCTTCAAGGTCAAGAATAACATGCCTTTCCCCTCAAAAAGAGCCCATGTCCACGTTAAAGGGCTTTCATCTAACTAAGTCAGGTCCGCTGGAAACCACCTTTTAGTTAACTCAGAATCAGCTGTTTTGGGACCTTAATTATCTGCAAATCTCATCACCCTTTTCCAAGTTACATAACCTAATCACTGGAGTTACATTTCATTGTAATCACAGGCTCCCATCCAAGTTCAAGTGGAGGGGATTATACAGGGTGTGAACACAATTGGGAAGGCACCTTGGGGCTATCTTAAAGTCAGCCTGCTTCTCTGCTTTTCTGCAGTATGATGGATGGACAGCTCAGGGAAACCCAGGCTTTCCCTTCCCTGCTGACCACTGCCTTGCACTAAAGGGTCTCCCTTCTGCAATCAAACCTATTAATTAACCTATTTAAGTAGAATTTAAACAGAATCCTGATTTATGCATGTCAAATTGAGAGCCATATGAGCCCCTTATTTATGGCAAGTCAATAACCTGCCAAACCAGGAGGTTCACAGTGTCTTCCTATTTTGTTTCAAGAGGGGTGTGAATGTACGTGTGTGTGTATGTACTGAAGAATTATGTTTAGAATAGTTTTCTCAATTCAGTTCCACCTGCCTTATAGGTTGGAAAGGCACAGCAATATGGATTGTAATCATTTCAATCTGACTGCTCTTGTTACCGAGGCCATTCCACTGCTTACTGTCGGGGCAATGTTGCACAATTTGTGTACCTTCTCTGTGTCTTTTTGTATGAAAATGGAGATACAGTAGTACATTTCCCATATTGCAGTAGAGATGCAACATTGAGTTAATGTTAGTGTAAATGTGAATGCGCATGTATTTCTTCCCCAAAGTAATATCTGAAAAATTGGAAGAGAATGCCTTAAGGGCTGCTAACCAGATGGTTTCAAAAAAAAAAAAAAAAAGAACTTGAAAATTGAGTGAACAGAACAAACTTGGCATCCTTGAATGGAACTCAGAATATTTCTAGACTTTCACCTAGACTTATTTCCACTCTGGTTACAAATAAACATGATCCTAAGATATACTTGAAACAGACCAAATTTTTAAGATTCAGCCCACAAATATTAAAAAATAAAAATGAAATGGCACACATTGTCAGCAAATTAGTCATAGATATGTTTATTTTAACTTGGATAATGTCTAAGGATTTAAAATTTGTTATAATGGATATGAAAAAAATCTCAACCATATCCTCGTGGAGAATTAAGATCAAAAGAATCTATTCTGTGTAGGGCTGACTAGGGTCTGGGAAGTTAAAGATGTAACAAATACCTTTTGAGTTATCATCGTATTAGTAATAGGGAATATTTGACTGTTACATTATGACCTATAGTGTGCTTTCGACCTATGTCTCTGATTTAATCATACTCTCAATATATGAGTTACATAATGTCCCTTTTTCAAATGAACAGATTCAACTTCAGTTATATTCCAAGAGATCCAAAAATAATAAAGACAGTGTAGCTACCACTTGAACTATGTCCTATGACCCTATGTCTAAGGGATTTATCCTCCATCCCAGTGCCTATAGCATCCTGAGTGAAAAGAGCCAAGCTAATTCCTTAATTTAAGAAAGATATTCATATTTGTAAAGGTTTAATACATTCCTCCCAAGAGAAATATTTGATATTTCATAGAATTCGTATCCCCAAAGAATAAGCACTAAAAAACAGTGAATACCCCAGTAAAGTATATGTCTGCCTTTTTAAAAAATATGAAGCATAAAAATCCAAGTGAATAATTTCACTAAACATAAAATGACCACAAATGCAGTCCTGTATCCTGTGCTTTATTTCAATACATCAGAATATTTGTTTACCCAAATTTTGATCTTAATTCAAAGTGCCGTTTGCCCATATTTATTTACTCTTCTTAATTAAATTTTACCTAATTTGTAAATTATCTTATTAAATAAAATGTGTTCATTTTTTTCCTGTAATAATAGGATGTTCAGGAGAAACAAACTGCAGCTGAACAAGTGTCTTTAATCACAGAGCTTTATGTATTAGTCCTTAAAGCAATTTCATGATATGAAAGACAGCTTCATGTGAGATTAGCAGCAATATATCTTCATTAGAGATTATTTAGTAAAGTACAATGATTTCAAATTTGTAAGCATATTGTTAGGCTAGAAAGAAACAATAAAGCATATTAACTTGTTTTGTTATGGGTGTAGGAAACTTTCCTAATTAGAAGAGAAAAATAATGCTTGGTTTCTTTTAAACAGTTAAGAGAATTAAATACAAAAGTGATTTTTAATATCTCTTGTGTTTTAGTTAATTAGTGTCTCAGTTATTACTAGAGAATTTTAATAATGTTTTTAAACTTTTGGATCATCCATTAAGAGTGACTTGCTTTTCATAAAAACTAATCAATGTGTCTTTCAAAATGTTCTCACAGTTTCTTTTAAATCTTTTGAATTTTATTTGACAGGCCATCCAGACTAATCAGATAGCAGCCATAATTCAACCCAGAAATGTTTATACGTTTCAGTCATGTTTTTAAGCCATATTTTTATCATGCACGTAGCCATAGTTTTAATCCTTATTTCATCCCAGACTAATATTGTCTTAAACCTGGATTAATGAAATACAATCCTGGTGCTTGTGCCCCGACTAATGCCAATGCTGCTATTGTTACTACTACCAATAATAATGACAGTCATCCTAACAGCAACATATTTTTCCATTCTTTCTTCGGCCATGATGTATGACCATATACACTTGACCTGCAATAATGTATTCCATATTTATAACATGCTGTATATTAGCCATAATCATACGAATCATATTTTATACATGGTAGACTGCAATGGCCCACATTCACACAGATAATAAGTGGTTGATAACAAGTAGCCGAATGTATGTGTATAGCCTTGCATAGATTCTTCAGACGTAGAATATAAACTTGTGGTTGCCAAGGGGGCAGGGGGTGGGAAGAGATAGACTGGGATTTCAAAATTGTAGAATAGATAAACAAGATTATACTGTATAGCACAGGGAAATATATACAAGATCTTACAGTAGCTCACAGAGGAAAAAATTTGACAATGAATATATATATGTTCATGTATAACTGAAAAATTGTGCTGTACACTGGAATTTGACACAACATTGTAAAATGATTATAAATCAATAAAAATAAGTGGTTGATAACAAGTAGCTGGATGTATGTGTACAGCCTTGCATAGATTCTGGATTTTTTTAATGTAGAGTTAGGGAGATTTTTCCTGTTCCTAGGATGTGAGAGAGACCACCTGGTTAGTGCATGCATGCTTTCCTTTTTCAGTATCGAATGATTCCCTTTTTAAAATTCAGATTCCGGATCCATTTGGGATTTAGCCTTGTATCCAATTTTATGTTCTTTCCCAAACAGCTTTTCACTTATCTCAACATCATATATTTTTAGTTCATCATTTCTCCACTAATTTGAAAAGCTGCTTTAAGCCTGTCGCATTTCCATATGACATGATTCTGTATATAAGTTTTCCATTATGTTTCAACATTTACTCATCTTCCAGCAAATTATTTAAAATATATAAGTTTTATAATAAGGTTTAATATCTTATAGGTCTATGTATCACTTAGAATTCTATCAGAGAAGCAGAATGTTTATATTCCATGTTGCAGAAGTTTGCATGTAACTGTGGGAGATGAGTAAAAAGACTCCGTTATGTCTTCTCTCTTTTCATCTAATTCTGAACCTTCCGATGTGAAGGGCAGACAGTCCAGAAGGGAACATGGATATAAAGTGAGGCAGGGCAAGGACAAATTGCAACCAACTGCAAACTGCCAGTGAACTGGAAACTGCGACTGTCTCTCACCAATCTCCAAATTGATGATGCTGGTGTCCTGCAGGGAAGTTGGCGAACTTCATCATAGGCCTAAATATGCAACTAGCTCAAGAGCTGAGGAAGGTGAACAGCTCTGTCAAGCCGCTGCTCTGTGCCAAAGAGGTGAGCCAACAGGTAAGTCTGGATACACTTGAGCTGAAAAAGCACATGGTGCCTCTTCACCAGAGCTCCCGATTATGAAAGCAATATGCATGCTGCTTCGCTTTCCCCTTTCAAATTGCACACAAAAATCTCTCTCATGGCCTACCCTACCCAGAATATATCAGGAAGGAAATTTGGGGAAACATAATTCAGCAGAGCCATGTGGCTGCATAATAAAGCCACCACAGTACAACTCATAAATTCAGCATCCAAAAAGGACTCCTAAAACCATATGTAGCTTCTAAATCGAACCATAATAAAGTCGTGTTCCATCAGACCTGATGCAGCTGTCCAACATGTAACTGAAAATAAGCTCACTCTTTCCCTAAAAGAAGATTCTGAAGCTCTTTTCTACCTTTAGTTGATGTTCATTATTTTTACCTGAGTCTCAGTACTCAATTTATAACTTAAATACTGAGACATAAAGTTAACTACTATTAACATACTGTATTGTGGTTGGTAGAGGAAAGAAAAGAGGGAAATTCTTACATATATATATATATA